ATATAGTTGGGATTGTGATACTTTTTTTTCAGTGTAACCCGCCAAAACACATGTGAAGGGACGGGATTTTATCGACCGGCATATTTATATTTACAGTATCCTTGCGTTGACAAATACCATGGTAGTTCCTCACGTTTTTCGCGAAGAACCGTCAGCCATGTTGACTGTTGTGTAGCATCCTAGTGCGCAAGGGTTGGATGGAGGAATTCCTCTTGCAAAATTTTCACCTGTGAAGTAATATAATTTTTTAAGAAAAAAGCTTAAAAAACGCATATTTTCTACTCAGAGTATGACGTTGGGAGTGTATTGCATACCATCCCGATACGCTCATTGTGCTTTTTGTGTCATATTTTCTATAAGATTTAACTCTTTTTAGTATACTAACTAATATAAAAATCAGTGAAGGTACAAGAAGTCAAAAACTTAGATTATTTATACGAGGAAAAGCCATGTCAGGAGCACCAATCATCAAAGGAACAAGTCAATGGCCAAAATCACCAATAACTAAATGCATAGTAGTAAAATAAAATCAAACTTAACTAAATTTAACTAAAAAACTTCATTTTAATTTACTTCTAAATTCTTTTTTAAACTTTCTTTATTAAGTTATTCCATTAAATTAATTTAAATGTAATCCACTTCATTTTTAAAAAATTATGTGTTGACTTGATTTTAGTTTAAAAAAATTCTAAATACTAATTATGAATTTATATTTAACAGCGATATATAAATATCTTTAAATGAAATTTACAGATTGTAGATTGTTAATTAAAGAGCAGATTCTTCTAGTTAGGTTTAACTACCGCAACAGAAGGCTGAAGTTTGCAACAGGCCCATTCTTGAATTCGATTAAAAGAAACTGAGGAACAGAACTGTGTCAAATCATCAATACTATAAATGGACGAATATCTGCCAAACGGAACTATGTTCATCATGAAATGAACCCCGTTATGTATATATTCTTATGCATAAAGTTCTGCTTGACAGAAATACGTCCAAATGACAACGATATCGGCATCAAGGCCGGCGCTTCCCTTTCCATCCGAAGTATGATGTTTCCGTAATCTAAGATGCGCTTTTCAATTAAAAGTCTCCAGTTGCCTATGTCACGACCGGAGCTTTTATCGCATTTCAAAGTCCGGAGCAGATGCCTACTCATGTCACGATCTAATCTGACAATGAGTCCAAAATATTCTCTCGATTCTCCAATTTCTGGTCTTTCGAGAGCGGCTTGGCCATGGCGTAGAATTATATTTTTCTGGTTTGAACTTACGTATCGGCAAAAAATGATACCTGTTAAAACGTCAAGATGTACTTTTCGCAAAAGAGAGATATCGTTCCTCCGGGATACACGACCATATATCTCTAGACAAGGTACACATTTATGTATTTTGATAATTATATATTCCCTCTTTAACATTTCAAGTGAAAGGCTATTCGCGGAACAACGGTTATTAACGTATACTTTTACGTTTAACAATATTTACGTAAAAAGGTAAGCGCTGTTAATAAATCCGAGAAAGTGAGATATTCTTCACATCTTGGGATCTCTCTCGAGTGAGTTGGATCGCGTTTAGCAAAAAGGAACCAGCGTGATTAGTGTTTTGAAAATCGTGCAACTTCTCCTTCTGTTTTAAAAATACTCAATATATATGTACAGTACACAAATGGACCACTAGACAAGGTACGAATTTCAGCATACTGATACATGTTTCTTCATCAAAATTTCACGTAAAATACGATGCGCGGAACAAAAATTACTGAAATCAACTCTTTCCGAAGATATTTAATGATTCTTGGTGCTTGAATTGAATCCACCCGCTCATGAAAACTCAATGCTCTGCGTGATTCACATCGCGCGCTAAACGTTATCATGAACGTCTCTGCGATAAAAAAATCTGGCAACCTCAATCTTGACGCTTTGGCTCAGCTATAGCAAATTATTTATAGTTTGAAAAGCACATGGTGTGAAATGAACATTACTCGATTGAGAAGATTGTTGAAACCGTTGTAGTGCGCGATTTGACTCACGTAGAGCTTTGAGTTTCTTGTTAGTGGGCAGTTCAAATTCCTTGTGACCAATGTGAAATAAAAAAGTCAATATCTCCATTAGGAGTTGGTTTTAGTAATTTTCGTTGCGCGAATTGTGCATGTTCTACGTAAAATTCTGGTTAAGGAACATGTATCAGAATGTTTAAATTCGTACCTTGTCTAGTGGTCCATTCATACAATTCTTTTCCTTTGAAATTGACAATTTTTTGGTGAAAAGCCAAAGCTATTTGCTATTCTGGGTGATTTTTTAGATAATTATGAAGAAGCAACATTTTTACAACACTGTAATCTCGCTGATTCCTCTTTGCTAAATGCGATCCAGTTGATGTGTGCGTAAGGTTGGGGTCAAAGCTTGAATACAACTATTCAACCTTTAATGCTGTCTGTGATGCATGTGAAAAATTTGAAGGCGTTCTGACTTTCTTCACCCTGAGTTATATCAGTATAGTTTTATCGATAGCGAGTCTATGCCTCGTAATGCCTCATTAAACAACGCTAAGGGTTATTTCGGTTACCAATTGGTACAATTAAGGCACAAAACTTGACAACAGCCGCCAACAGCGATCTTATCTCCCTACCCTCCTCGGCTTTCCGGAGTACCTGTGATATACTGCGAGCAACTCCCAACACACGCGTACATGAGTGTGTAGCACTGTGGTTATTTTGTAAATTAAGGGCGCGAAGTACAGATACCCGTGCTTGATCGCACCACCAGCACCGCTACCCTTGATTAGCGTCACAGACTGTGTCATTAGCTCCCACTAGGGTACATCTATCTTCGTTTCGATCACCCCCTCTCATTCCCTCTCACGGAAACAAAACTCGCGTATATTCATTACCAATCCTCAAGAAACGCTAATTTTGAGGAATTTATAAAACAGCACTGATTAGGTGGGGGATGGGATAGAAGATCGTCGAATTCCGGCCAAAGTATTACAAGCTCCATGCGACGATTAAAAGTTTCCGCCACCATTTTATTTTATTACAGAAAATTGTTGGTTGAATCTGTTTGACAATTTCACTGAATTTTATCGGCAGCACAAAGAAAATTCAGCGCAATTTTTGGACAACTTCGTTCAACCATTTCTGTGTACGAAAATAAAATGGCGGCGGAAATTTATCAGAAACGTCGCATGGCGCTTGCGATACTTTGGTCAGAAGGTGATGAGATGGAGATTTATGAGAGGAGATGCGTGATATCTCACGCATTCCGGAGAGTTCTAATAGTTGTATCATTGCACCTTAGAAATGCGACGGAAGATTTAAATGGAAATAGCCTCTATGCATGCTGGGCGTGTCGATTTCCGTTGACATTTTTGCAGTCGTGAATGCATAGCTGAAGTACGCTCCAGCTAGAATTGTATACAGGGTGATCCAAAAGTCCCTTCCACCCCCTCTAACTTTTTACCTAATTGAGGTAAAGATTTGGAACTTGGGGGATATTCCTAGGTCAAAGGGAGCTACTTGTTGGCCCCCCTAAAATTTTCAGGGGGCCCCCCTGGGGGGGGCCACGACCCCCAACTTTTAATTTTCAAATGAGAAGACCCCCTTTGTGATAGCTTGTTCGAAAGAGCATAAAAAAAGAAAACTTTTCGCGCAAACCCGAAGTCAATATCTCAAACCGTTTCAAAATGGCGGCCGGTTAAAGTTCAAAATGGCCGAAAATTCACACCGGTTATTTGTCGATGGATTTGCGCGAAAATCGGTATGTAGGGGTATTTTGACACGAGAAAAACGAATTTGACGTTAGATTTTCAAAAAAACCGAAATTTCCAAAATGGCCGCCGGCTACAGTTCAAAATGACAAAAAATTGATTTTTTTAGAAATCTAAGTTCAAATTTGTTTATCTTATGCCAAAATACTCTCAAATTCCAAGTTTTAGGCAAATCCATCAGCAAAAAACCGAGGTGACAATTTTCGGTCATTTTAAACTTTAACCGGCGGCCATTTTGGAAATTTCGGTTTTTTTGAAAATCTAACGTCAAATTCGTTTTTCTCGTGTCAAAATACCCCTACATACCGATTTTCGCGCAAATCCATCGACAAATAACCGGTGTGAATTTTCGGCCATTTTGAACTTTAACCGGCCGCCATTTTGAAACGGTTTGAGATATTGACTTCGGGTTTGCGCGAAAAGTTTTCTTTTTTTATGCTCTTTCGAACGAGCTATCACAAAGGGGGTCTTCTCATTTGAAAATTAAAAGTTGGGGGTCGTGGCCCCCCCAAGGGGGGCCCCCTGAAAATTTTAGGGGGGCCAACAAGTAGCTCCCTTTGACCTAGGAATATCCCCCAAGTTTCAAATCTTTACCTCAATTAGGTAAAAAGTTAGAGGGGGTGGAAGGGACTTTTGGATCACCCTGTATAGCAAATGGGTGGTTTTTCTACGAGGATTAAAAATAAACGAGTGGTACGGAATATAACAAAAGAATATGAACAATGCAAAACGATAATCCGGGTATCGGAACTTGCCTGTTTTGAAAACGCCTTCAAATGCGGCGTGATACCTCACGCATTCCGGAGAGTTAAAATAGTTGTATCATTGCGCCGTAAGAATGTGACGGAAGATTTAAATGGAGATAGCCTCCATGCACGCTTGGTTTGTCGATTTCCACTGAAATTTTTTCAGTGGTGAATGCATTGCTGAAGTGCGCTCCAGCTAGAATTGTATTTACAAATGAGTGGTCTTTCTACGAGGATTAAAAAGAAACAAGTGGCACGGAATATAACAAAAGAATATGAACTATGCAAAACGATAATCCGGGTATCGGAACTTGGCTGTTTCGAAAACGCCCTCAAATGCGGCGTGATACCTCACGCATTCCGGAGATTTCAAATAGTTGTATCATTGCGCCGTAAGAATGTGACGGAAGATTTAAATGGAAATAGCCCTCGTAAGACACGACAAATTATAACAGCACACTATATTTTTTTAAATGTACGTACTTACCAAAATGTGTAGTGTTTTGGTCAAATGGGAAAAATCTGAAACGGAAAATACACAAATCGAGATTAGGGCGTGGCGAATATCGTGGCGCACCAAGATTAAAAAAATAGACTCTTCAGAGAAAGAGGTATAATTAAGTCCAATAGGGATTTCAATCTTGAAAAGAAATGAACCGATGGAGAAGATTCTTCCTCAAAAACATATTTTCTTCGTAAATTATACATTTACGATTTTTCATGCTGAAATCTTTCCAACATGCATGCATGATGCATGTGTGCCACAGAAAAAAATCTAACTTTAGCTAGGCATTTTGTCGTTCTTGACTTTTAGAACTTAAGCCCTCAGCTGTATTTCCAAAACATAATTTTGATGGCCAAAGGGCAAGACGACGTTTCGCCGTTTGCGACTTTGCAAGACGAAGAAGACATTGGGATTATGCAGCAATCTTATTGGTTGCAAAGGATGGTTCCTATAGACAAAGGGAGAAAATGATGGACTAACTACAGAGTCTCTCATGGGTTGCTGTTAGTTAGCTCTATTATTTACTTCCTTTGTCCATTGCAACCGTTTGCATCCACCAATGGGATTCCTCCGCATCGATTTGCCTTTTTTCCCTATAGCTTTGTCTATATGAATTTCAGTAACCGGCCCGCAGGTCTGATTTAGTGTCTTTTGTAAGGCCTTGTCTCCACGAGCCGTTTCACGAGATTCGTCCCAGGGAAAATCCCACTTACGAAGTTCGGAAAAATATTGAGTTAATCAATATTTTTCCCAGTACCAAGTATGGTACTTGTACCCCTAGGATCCACTGAGAGAAGAAGAAGAAGTGAAAACGAATTGTGCGATATTTTATACATTACTACATTGTTAATGTTTGTTTAGTTAAAATAATGCGTCTAATTGTCAATTGAGTGCAATTATTATTTTAATCGCGGTTAAATACTTGACTTAAACTAATTTATCTTCCCGCGCAAACTAGTTTCAGGACTGTATGAGCCCCGTCCCGTGGAGACGGTAACTGGGAAAAATCCCAGAAGTTTCATTCCTGCGATTCGAACGTGGGACAAATCCCATGAAAACGTCCCGTGGAAACAAGGCCTCAATGTATCCCAGCGTCGAAGAGAAGACGTGAGTTCGCATCTGTGTGGATTCACGCGGAATCAAGAAAGAAAGAAAACATGACTACTCGATTTTCAAGAGATGCTCAAGGTAGGAAAAAGGCGGCAAACCAGGGAATTGACGCTAAACTCGAGAAATAGAATTAGTGTCGAGAAAGAGACGGAGTTGTAGATGTGAGGACGGGACGCGGTTCGTGGCTGTCGAAACCAAAATCAGAGGCTTCGCACATAACCTGTCATACGCTGCAAGAGACTTCTTACTGCTCGTACGTCTCTTCGTTTATAATGTTCTGCTAAGGAACACCACCGTATGAGCCAGTGGCGTGGCGTGCTTTGCGATATATCGATTCATATGCCATTTAAACCTATGAAAAAAGATCGATTATCAGGGTGTTCGCAGCGAACACCTTAGTAATCGATTCTTTACCATAGCTTCAAATGGCGAGATATCGATAATCGATTATTCACGCCACGCCACTGGTATGAGCACATGCAGCAACGTTGTTTAATTTCTTCTCATGAATTAAGACCTTTCTGGAAACCTCTGAACTTTCTCAAATCAATTTTTCACCGCAGAATTGAGAATTTTCACGTGTCTACAATTCAATAAGTTGGACTGGTAAGTGAACATTTTTCAGTGAACTGAGGACTGAAATATTATCAGTTTCTAAAATGAACGATTATTTGAGGATTGATTATAACTTACTGTAATATACTTAAAATACTCTAAAAAACTTCGTGAATTGGACCCGAAGTTCCCGCCAAATGAATCTCTGAAGTTTCCGGACACACTTCTGAAGTACTGTGGTTAACTCCAGAGTAGTTTCAACCAAAATCCTGAAGTACTTCAGATGTGCAACCCAAATTTTGGCATTTGGATCTCAAGTTTTCAACTGGACCTAAACTTTGGGTCTCTCGCACGAAGTTTTTCCTCTTCGTTTCATGACGTCACAAGGTGGTAATTCCTCTTTTTAAAGTTAGTTGTTTTCTATTTCTTAGATAAAAAAAAATTGTTAAAAACATCTGTCAGTTCATCACTAACTATATACTTGTAAAAAAACTCTTATAAAGCGATAAATCTGTTTGGTGCAAATTCTCCTCTATAGGAATGTGCAATTTTATTTTAAGTCTCTGAAAATTTAAAAAATCAACATGCATTTTTTAACTCTTCTCTAAAACATACATTTTGTGGAGGAATTTGAAAACATCAGAACTCTCATACGGGTTCTGTCTTTGCACGGCAGAAAAAGAAGGGTGAAAAAGACAGAATGTACTGTAAAGAGGTTGGAGGTTAGGGGAAGGGTAAACTTCTTGCGCGAACATAAAGGGTTTTGATTTAACGTCGTTATATCGAAAAAGAATCTGTAGTTGCTGTTGTCGGGGAGCCCTGTGGTTCGAAATCATTGACATTGATGTCATTTACTGCTACGTGACTCTTATACGCAAGGCTACCTTATTTTCTTTATCGAACCGGTACTCGAGGGAGTTGCTCACGGATTTCCTTTTAAAAGCAAGGATGCAAGGACTATTTGAGGATTTCTTTTCTTCTCAACAATTTGCCAATGACAAAAACTGCTAGTTAATTCAATTAAAGTGCTCGCTTGCAAGCATAATGTGCAGATCATATCTAAATTATTTTATGAGATAGAGTTGGTATGGATGATTGTCTTCAGCCCACGGACCGATAAAATCTTTGTTTCACTTACACGCTTACAGTAAATACCTTTATCGACATTGAGGTTAAATGTATTTTCCGCCCTGGGATAATTGATGCCCATTTTAAAGATCATTAAATTAATTAAATAATCACTGATGGATGTAACATGATATAGATTGAGCATTTGCAACAGTCTAGGATTTGTTCGTGGTGATTCTCAGCGCCTGGATGCAACTATACATGCTCGAGGGATATCCGCATTGCATATGACAAAAATTGAAGGCGCTTCTGATTTTTCTCGCACAACCATTCATAGGTATACACAGGTCCGGTGTGTTGTCATTTTGTCACTGTAATGGTTACATCTACATTGCAGCGTTTTAAAACCTCATCTCTTATTTTAATTTTTTGGAAGGAAACCAATTTATTTCTCCTAGAATTTTGCGGATATGATCTACTAATGGACAATAAAATTTCATAAAATTTTGAATGGGGATGCTGCTTGATTTTCCTACAGCAAATTGAAATCGGAACACGCCTTAGCGCCACAAGAGTGACAAAATATGGCCCAAGAAGTGGTACTTTGAGAGATCAAAGCGTCCGATGGGGGTTGGATCACGTAGCAGCCAGGCAGTCTGCTCTTCGTATTTTATATTGGGCTGCGCTGCGGCCAGCGGGCCGATTATTGAAATGATAGACAAAGAAGACAAAAGGGATTTGGAGGGATCCTATTGGTTGAGGCGTGTGGTTGCAATGGACAAAGGAGATAAGTACTACACTGACTAACGGCAACCAACAAGGTATATTTGGTTAGCCCGTCTTTTCGCCCCATAGTCTACAACCATCAGCCAATTCAATCGAAAGGATCGCTCATTACTTTCCACGTCTTCTTTGTCTATCGCCTTGCCTATCAATTTCAACAATCAGCCCTCAGATGCAAGTTAATTTTTCTTGTAAAAACTGGAAGCGTGTTAAAAATTTGTTTCAGCCGAAACTTTACCCCATAGTCCCCACCCATATCACCCATTTCAACCAATAGGATCGCTCCATATTTCCTACGTCTTCTTTGTCTGTCACTTTGTCTATCAGTTTCATTAATCAGCCCGCAGGAAACACAGGCCTCAAGCGGTTATTACTCGTGCAATATTGGTAATGAGAGCAAGCCGAGGAATGAAACAGCATGTCTTCTTTGTCTATAGCTTTGTCTATCAATTTCAATAATCAGCCCTCTAGCGGTTATAATCATGCAACATTGGTAATGCGAGCAAGCCGCGGAATGAAACAGCATGTCTTCTTTGTCTATAGCTTTGTCTATCAATTTCAATGATCACTGATCAGCCCACTAGCGATTATAATCGTGCAACATTGGTAATGCGAGCAAGCCGCGGAATGAAACAGCATGTCTCCTTTGTCCATCGCTTTGTCTATCAATTTCAATAATCAGTCCTCTAGCGGTTATAATCGTGCAACATTGGTAATGCGAGCAAGCCGAGGAATGAAACAGCATGTCTCCTTTGTCCATCGCTTTGTCTATCAATTTCAATAATCAGCCCTCTAGCGCTTATAACCGTGCAACATTGGTAATGAGAGCAAGCCGAGGAACGAAACAGGAGATACCGACATCGGAAGTGCCGGCAATAGAATTTTCACCGACCTCTTAAAGACAGTAAAAAACCGCCTGCGTTAGTGTCGTGAGGAAGAAGTGATGTCGGTGGGAGAGGGGAGGGGGGGGGGCTCCTTTCAATTTGGTGGTGCGAAAACTATTTAGACGGTCGCGGCGAGATGGTGAGAATTCCGGCGACGAAACGAGGCGAGATGCGCGGCGGGGAAACGGGACGTGAGGCGCCGCTAACCTGATTTTCCCGGGGCAAACATCAAAAAAATTGACGCGCTCCGGGGAGGGAGAAATGAGCGGAGCGGGGGGGGAAGGAAAATAGCGAGGTTGGAAATTAAAGCTCGCATTCCAGATTCTCCTCAGCTTCGCATTTTTTTTTTTTTCACTTTTTCGTTTCCATTTTAAGTCCTCGGCGACTCTTGTTCGACCCTTCGACGGAGATGTTCTGTGGCGTCTCGGACGTGATCAATTGAGAGCCATTGACGCCGGATTACAAAAGAATGGACCCCTCGTTAGAGGTTAGAGGTTACCTTGCCACCAATTGAAGTTCCTTATGATTCCCGTGAGGTAGATACAGGGATATTGTACAGAGTAATCTAAAATTAAACCGCCATACTGCAGGAGCGTTTTCTACGGGTGGAAATAAGA